TTAACAAGAACCAATTTACAGAATAATTTTTTTTTGTTACAGTTTCTTCTGCTACTCAAAAGTAGAGTATTCCTATGAAACATTTTGTAAGCTAAAATGACAAAGTCAGGAAGTAATGACAATTAAATTTATATAAAAGAAAAATGTTGATTCTTCCCAGACTTTCAAAATAATCTTTATTCTTTTGCTATGACTGACAGTCATGCAATAATTGCAGAAAAGTATGATTATAGTTTTGAAAGGATAGAAATGTTCAGTTTTGCAAAACAATTTCTGTATCTACAAAAAACTGTATGATAAAAAAATGCAAGAGCATACTGTTGTCTTCCATATCAGTGGATATGACATGAAAGCAAGCAGACCAGTTATTATGGGGGCCTGGGAATGTTCAAAAATATTTCCCATATAAATTAATAACTACTTTTTCACTTTAAATCATTTCAGATAGCAAACTGTTGTAAACCAATTTAAAAAAAAAAAAAATGTATTTTTATTTAGGAAAATTTTTTTATATAAAAAACAAACTTTTAAAACTTCTCTCGATTAACCAGAAATGCAGAAAAAATTTAAAATAAAGAATTCTTTACTAAAATGACCAAATAATTAAATAGAAATGATTAAACAAAATTATCACAAATTTTCCATTTCAGAATGGAACACAAAATTTATCATTAAAATTTACATTCAAAATCACATTACAAAATCAAGACATCATTTTTTTTTTATATGCTATTATTGTTCACAAAAGAAAAAAAAGGCCCAAGAGTCATTGAAGGTAAAGGTTTAATGAATGAGGTTGTTTGTAAGGTGTAAGAGGAGGAAGTAAATTCATATTATGAAGATATGTAGGATAGATAACAGTTGACATTAGATTTGAAGAAGTTAAAATTATTGTATTCAGGGGAAATATCCTCCTGAAAGTCTATTTCCCAAAGTAACAGTTATTGGGATGAAGCTAAATAAAACTTCCTGCTTACCAATTGAATAAAATTGGCTCGGCCATGTGTATGTAGCATGGCAGATGCTAGCTGTGAAGGTTTAAACTGATGGAATTAAAATATGTATCTCATCTGAACATTTGGCATAAAAATAGCAATAGGGGTTTTAATAATAGATCTGATAAAGTCATTATACTGTTGCAAATTTGACAAAATAATTTACAAACAAAAGTAAAGAGCAGTTAAACTTTCTTAGAACTTTGTTCATCAAAATGCCATTTGATTTTGAGGGACTTTTTATTTTATGTAGGATATATTTTGCTGCACATGTTTATATAAAAAAAAAAGTGAGGAGAGGATGCCATTGGTTTATCAAGGCTTTTAAATTTGAGAATGTTCATGAATATTCATCATGTGGTTAAAAGGTCAGTTAAAGCATGTGCCTACATTGCATTGATAAGTCCCTCAGAGGATGAAATGCATCAGCTGAGAATAGTATTTCCTCTTGTCATATATATATATATATATATATATATATATATATATATATAAAATAAAATAATGAATACAGATGATCCTTAAAAACCCATTCAGTTATAATTTATTTCATGACTATACACATATTCATCTCTTCAGACCAAAGTTTTTTAATAAATGGAGTCAATTTATCCAGACGAAAGGGAAAATGGAGAGGGAAAAAGAAAAGAAAAAAATTTTAATATTAAAGAGGAAGAAAGAAAAAGAAAAATTTCAATATAGGATTTTTTTAAAATTTATGGGGGAGATAGGATAGAGTGAGGGAATGAAAAGAAAAGAAAGAATTAAACATGAGCTGATAGGGTGACCCGGAAATTATTTTTCTTTTAGGACTGAACAATTTAAAATACAGGGTAAGGAAGGGAGTGATCAGATTTAAAATAGATACATTGATTTGTCTGATATTCATGTCATTTTCGACAGCAAAACAATCATCACGTTATAATCACCCTACTGGCTCAGCATAAATTCTTCCTTCTTTCCTTTCTTTTCCCCCCTCCCCTCTCTTCCCCTATGGTGAAACCTGTGACTGACTTGTTTCTATTTTGTTTCTATGTCTTCAGCATATCACAGAGAACACACATGCCCCTTTTCTTGGTAAGTGACTTTCTCTTTCGCCATACTCATATTTGCCAAGACAAATAAATGAGACAAAACATTGACTATTTGTTATATTCAGCTCCTAATTTTTTAAAATTGTTTGGTTATTGTTCTAATATCACTTAATAAAACTAGAATAGTCAATGCAAACAGTAAAAATAATTATTTTGCTACACAATGATTATTTGAATTCTACATAAATTTATACATGCAAAATGCATTAAATTCTTTTTAATTTAATACCTTATGCAATAAAAACTGTCCCATAACAAAAAAAAAAAAAAAAAAATAATTCAAGATTATCCATTAGATTAACAGATAAAACAATTTTAACAAGATAAAGAAATTATAAGTAATATAGAAACATAAAAATATAAAAAAAATTAATGTTTAATGAGAATGTAGTCATTAGCAAAGGTTACATCATGTTCAGTAAACTCCTAATGATTCATAAAGATGCCTTGGTGTGGCATAATGCTTACAAAGCTACTCCATTTAACATTACTACTGAGTAATGAGTTTAATTCTTACTAAGTACTCATACAAAATTTGATACGAAATAACCCAACAATGGTTGGCATGTTGTAAAATCAACCAAACTAATTATTCACAAACTTTATAATTTCATTTTTTAATGTTATTTTACTTCAGGGTGTTAGCAATTATGGCTCTTCAGAGATTCCTTTTCTTTATTATCTGAGAATTGCCAAGTATTCTTAAGATATTGGAGTGATTTCCTGTTGCCTCCTCCATTACTTGAAATTTAGAGTTTTCCTTCTTTTAGAATTGTTGCCACCCAAGATATAACCCTAATAGAAATTTTAAAATTTCAGTTATTTTCTGTACATTGTGTTTAAAAAAAATCTGAGCTTCATTCTTAGTTTTTGACTAATTTGAGCCTTGTCATGCTTTTATAAGCCCAGTCAACCTTGCTATTTAACAGTTTGTGGAGAAGAGACAATGGCATTAGTATGGAAGTGAATGCTACAGAATAAGCTGGAATTTTAACTCTGCATGCTGATTCTTCTGGGTTGCTATCCCTAATGCTACCAGCATATGCTAAAAAAATCCAAGGTTCACTTCATGCTTTGTTTTTTACTAATTTGTCATGCTTATAAGGAATTTGTGGTCACTTGACAACAGACAGAATGACCTCCTAAGAAATAGTAGGAAAGGAATTTGTGGTCACTTGACAACAGACAGAATGACCTCCTAAGAAATAGTAGGAAAGGAATTTGTGGTCACTTGACAACAGACAGAATGACCTCCTAAGGAAAGGGAGTAAGAATTGGTCAACTATGCTCACATGACATACATCACCAAGTGGTGATTTTGGTATTGTAATTTTAGTTTCCCAATGTCCTCTAACGACAACAGTTTGTGAAAAAAATACTCTCATCATGCAATTGTAAGAGATGAGAAATACACCCACAAGCCTATTTCCTTACATGTTGTGTAGGGAATAAGGAAATTTTGATCCGGAGATCTTGGGTCTATTTGACTATTTAAGGAATATTGTACCCAAAGAAAACATCTTACTTTCATCCCAGATGCAATCCAATTAACCAAGGGGAAATGGAACACGAACATTATTCCAGAGTTCTATATTTCACATTGCAGAAAAAAAAAAAACAACTTTTGTGAACATTCTACATCAAATTTGTCTGCTTGTCATAACAAACCTTTGAGCACCAAATTCCTGAAACACAAATGTTTAAACTGACATCCAATATCAGTTAAGTATTCTTTTATTAATTGTATGTATGTCATGCCATACTTTTCCCATATTTTGTATTTTGTCATATAAAATTTATTTACAAATGTTAATCTTATGTTTGTTGTTCATCGGTACCTGTTTGTGTATTCCTATCTGAGCAAAACCCACCTTCTTTTTTTTAATCTGGGGTTTATACCATTATACATTGTGAATTCATAACAATCTAAAGAAAGATGCAGAATTTTTTATTATTGTTGTAAACATCTCATATTACTTAAGCCTATGTCAATAAGATTCTAAAACACTTAAGGACCTTGCTCAATAAAAGAAAGTGAAAGCATAGAACAGAAATATCTGAGATTATATCCAATCACAAGTCCTAAGTCAAGAAATTCTGATTGCAAAACTAAGTAACTTTTTCTCTCACAGTTAATATAATTCTTGTAAAATTCATAATAGATAAATCTCTAAAAAAAAAAAAAAAAGGTAAATCAACTTTCATAAAATTTTGTTTGATTTATCAAGCTGAAAAATTGTCAATATACTTTAATTTAAATGCCTGTTTTCATCTTTGATTGTTGCAGGCATGACATTCCGGTTATCTTTAGATATTCCCTATCAGCCTAAAATTATGGATACCTATAGATGGCCAAAGGATACTTGGCCAAAACTATAGCATAACATTTATAACCACCAAAGATGATAATAATTTGAATGAATCAAAATTTATTGACAATTCCTCAAACATGATATAAACTCACCATGAAAACAACGTCAAAAGCATCTGACATTGGATTTAAAAGCTCTAATAATACACCACTTTTGAATATCTTTTGGAGCAGTGGCATAGTAGGTACAGGTACTGGATTAAAAAAAAAATGTTGTAGTCACCTAGTGGTCATGGGTTCAATCTCTAGAACGTTTGATTGACTCATTTTCTATGGCTTATCTATATTTTGCAGGTTATCTAAAGCCAGAAAATATTTTTTTTTTTGATTTTAAGAATTCTTGGTGGGGTGGGATAATAATGATTTAGTGGTACAAGTCTTAATAATTAACCCATAACTGAGAGGAGTAGAAGCAGATTCATACCTTCCCCAAGGGTATGTGGACATAAGTGAGTAAAACAAACCCAACTGGAACTGGAACTCAGCACATCGATTAACAATTACAAGTCATTACCTATTATATCAACTACACATCCAAGCTCACAGCACCTGGTATTGCCAAGGAATCAACCATCTAGGCACTAACCAGGCTCGACTTTGCTTAACTTTAGTGATCATACAGGAACTGGTGTTTCAACATGATATGGAGGTAAGCCAATCTCTAGAACAGGTAGTGAAATTAATATATTCTAGATCAGGACAAGAAACAGATAACAATCACTTTATATCTCCTATTGGCAAAAAATAATGGACACCTGAATATGGACAAAAAGTATTTGGTTGAAATAATGTGTTTATAAATATGTTTATAATAAGATCTACAACAAACACAACTATTGTACAAATAAACCAAAAATTGTACATAAAATTTTATTGTCTTTATTAGTAATCATGGCTTCACGTTTAAAAAAAAAATGCCACAAAGAAAAAGCATACTTATTATCTGCTGGTATTTATGTCTATTGATGATGTGGGTTTTAAAACTATATATATGAATTGACTATTAAAAGCAGGAAACATGAAAGCCATTGACAAATCTTAAATGCTGACTCATGCTTATAATGATAAAGTTGAACACATATCACCTCACCAGCCATTAATAAGAAGAAATATTAATAAAGAAAAGCATTCAATAAAAGTAAATGTAGCAGAAACAAAATGCAGATGGAGCTGCCTTCTGTTACTGATAGCAGTACCCACCCCTGTCAGTCAAAGAGATAATGTTTAGTGTGCTGTCTGCTGAAAGAAAGCAAATGGCTACCCTGCCAGAACAATCCCTAGGACATCAAGAGAAAAAGAAAGTATCTATCAGCTTCCTCATGAAAAAGTCTGGAATGTTTCCTTTTGCTAGCCAACTGCTGAAGTTTTAGGCTCCATAAAAGCAGGGATATTTTCCAAGAAGAGGCAGCATCACAGTGTACTGTGCTGATTGTATACAAGGATTTCTGTCCATGTTACCCAGAATCATTTGAAATTCGTTGGTCCTTGTTTGTATTTCCAGTGTCTTGGCTACATTCATCCTATATGTGTGATGTTCCTGTGCAGAAGTCTTGTTCATGCACTGCTTGTCATGATATAGTGTTCAGCTCCTTTAGTATTTGATTCTGATGCTGCTGATTTTTCCATCACTCTTTGTTGGCAGATACCCAACCAATAAGAAAATTCATCAGTAAATAAAAAGGGAAACTCTGTATTTACCTGCATGTCAACAAAGCCATCGTCGCATTTTGTGAGGCGATGATAGCGAGCAGACCCACCAGGCTGCCCACGCCGATTCATTTTCAGTAGGTTAGAAATGGTTACTGTATAAAATATTCCACACCTCACAAAAAAAATACCAGTTCAGCACTTGTTACTCCATGACATGGAATCTGTAATAAAGTATCAAGATGTGTAAAAAATTGGTAGATATACAGGTTTATATTAGACCATTGAATGTTTGTGGTCAATTAGAAAATTAAAAACAATAAAAATCAGGCATGAACTTTTGCAATGATCCAATAAGTAATATAAAATGTACTTAAAGAAAAACCACACGGACAGGAAAACAAAACAGGTAAAATGATAAAATAATTAAAGGGAGAATTCATGATTCTCAAAGAAGCTGTTGAAGCTGAACAGGCTTGATGTTGCTTAACTTCAATAATCAAAAAAGAACCAGGGTTTTAACATGATATGGCCATTATATATATATATATATATATATATATATATATATATATATATATATATATTACTAGCAGCATTGCCCGTGCTTGATTCAAAAATAGTACGACTAATACAGTAATCGCTATCACTTGACTTAAAAAATATTTTTGCCCTTCCTTGCCTTTAGAGGAGTGCCCTTTGCCGTGCTGATGTTGTTACATGCCTTACTTCTTGCCTATATCACACTGCCATCTTTTTTCTAAGCTCTATAGTAAACATTAAATCTGTTACAAAAAAGAACTAAACAAAATAAACACAATACGATCAGCTTTAAAAACCGGAAAAAATTTTTAAGGGTTGACCGATTGTCGATTTGCACTCTGTTTGGGGGGGTGCTCAGAGTTGAAACTTCACATGATGACTCCTAATGGCCTCTTCATAAATCCAGATTTCGGTTTTCACTAAAAACCGACATGCGGTTCAGACGCAATCTGGGCATATCGGTTTTTGGGTTTTTCCACGCTGTTTAGGGGTCCGTGGTCATAAAACTTCTGGACAACACTTCTAATGGTAGACTCTAAGAGGGTGTCAAATTTGGTTGAAATACTCAAAAATCGGGCTCTGTCATGTCCTTACGGCAGCCATTTGCAAACTTGTGTTGAAAACCACATCGAAATTGGGTGAGAAATGCGGTCTGGGAGAGGTAACAACACCCACGACATACAGACAACATGAGAAATATTGATAGTAGATATATATATATATATATATATATATATATATATATGACATATGGCTTTATCCCCATGGCTGTAAAATAATCAACAACATTAATAAGTTCTAAAGGGTGTTGTGTAATGCAGAAAAAACAACTACATGGCAGCCCTTAAACAAGAAATTGTAAATGCATGTACAGCAATCCCACTGGACACTTTGACCAATGCTGCCCAAGTGTACTAATAAATGTCTGGAAACTCAAGGCCACCATTTTGAGCATCTCTTGTGATCATAGAGTCCAAAGGTATTAATCTCATAATGTCTGAATAAATTTATTATTACAATATCTATACAAGTTTTTCCTATTCTGAAGTCTGTGTTTTATATATATATATATATATATATATATATATATATATATATATATATATATATATATATATTTTATTAAATCTTTCAAATTTACAAATAAGTTTAGTTTTATCAGTAAATTTGCTAAAATTTATAACTTTTATTTTATATTTTTCTTTCTTCCAAAGTACTTTCAAATGATACTCCATTTGTTTTCAAGGATTGTTTTGTATGTACTTATACAACTGGTATTTAATTTTGGGTTTAGCCTTAAATAGGATAAATGTTAACATCTTTATACAAAAAAAAAAAGAAAAGAAAAAAAGGAGGGTATCTGAGGAACCTTTTGGCCAACCTTTTGTCAGAGAAAATTGGCAAAGTTAATTTTTTTTATAACAGGAATGACAAAAAACAATTTATGAAACTAAATGGGAGAACAAAACTGGCACACGATGTTTGTTATTTTTGTTTTTTCTTATAAATTGTTTTGTGGTTGTTCCTGTTAAAAAAAAAAAAGTTAACAATAATTTTGACAATGTTTTTTTGGATGAAGGGTTGGTTGAATGGTTCCTCAAATATTCCACCCACTTTTTTCAGTATTAAGATGTTGACACCTATCCTATGTAAGGCAATGATAAAATTTTGCAGTATCAAATCATTGTTTCATCTACAAAACTCTGGAGTTGCATATCTATATCTACCATACTCTATCACCAAGAAGAGGTTGTAATGTAAATTAATAAATAACAAACATTTGTGTGACTCATTAAAATGTTTTTATTACAATTTAATATTGATTGCAATTAATCAGTCACTCATCATGATGCAGTCTCAGATTATATTGTCTCAAAGATATAATTATTGAAAAAAAAATTATCTGTCAGGCATTTATTTCAATCAAATCAAATTTAAAATTCATAGCTTTGATGTCTTCCTCATAAATCATTCCATTTCTTAAAATATATTATTACCGTATATACTCAAGTATAATGCAAGTTTTTATGATCAGTTTTTTTATGCAAAAAATAAAGTGTCACAGTATACACAGGTAAATTTTTCTGTAGGGGTTAAAATTCAAGTAAAAGAATACAGGGGTCACGTTGTATTTGAAATCAGCTTATATGTGAGTATATATGGTAATTCTTTTAACTACAAAGACATTCCACATAATGCAGAAAATATGGTAATTAACAACCACACTAATGATTTTAACACTTCCCACCACAAGAAATAAAGACAACAAATGTCATGAGATACTGATTTAATAAAGGTTGCTTAGGGTTATATAAGGGGAGATAACTCATACATAAAATGACCAAAACATTATCATTAGATATCATTTTTTCATGAATAAAGATTATTTTCTTCCAACTCTAAAAAACTGCAGATTAAAGAGATTAAATACTTTATAAATATATGAAATAATAATTCAACAATACATGGAATATTTTTTTAAAAAGGTGTATATATCTAAAGGTGTATGCAGCTAATGTAAAAAAAATAAAGCCTTTAAATATAGGTCTACATAATCAGTGAAAATTGTCTCTCAAAAAGTAGACTTGTTTAATTGGCAAATTAAATGGATAAGATGGGGTATTAGGTTGCTTATTATTTAAGGAAGTAGTAGTAAGCACATTATTTGGTGTGACTTTTTAAACAACAAAATGAAAAATTTGTGTTACTTCTAAATTCTTAAATACTACATACTCAAAAGTCTGAAAATCTTCTCTTGTTAGTTCTCATCAATGTAAGAATTTGAAATGTCTTGATTTCATGGTTCATATATATATATATATATATATATATAAATAATAATAAAAAATAATAATAAAACATGGCGTAAGCACCTTTTATATATAAATCTTAAGTACTGAGTAATCTTAAAAATTTAAGAAAATATTCTCCGTAATCTAATGTTTTATTGGATTTTAAATATTTTTGGCTGTATAGTTAGCACTTTTATTTTCTGATAATGTTGTATATGGTCAACTCTATATAGAAAATTGACACATTTATACACATAAAAAAAAAAATATTCAAAATTTTTTTAAAAAATATTGGTGTTTGATTTTTACTAAGCTTTTCAATTTATGATTAGTAATTATAGTTTTCACTTAATAATATCATAATCCAAAAATGTTAATACAGAATTTTAAAAAACTAAAACATAAAACTTATTAAATTATTCTAATTAAAATGAAAAAAAGAAAAAAAAAATTAAATGTAAAAATTCATTATTCATTGAAAATCTTTTCTTAACACAATTGTGTTCTTAAGCAATTAAAAGCTTTTCTAATTAAATAATGTCTTAGTTTTTTGGAATTTTTTATTTTACGACTCAGAGCATATTTTTCGGTAAATGAGTTATTGTTTGAAAAAAAAAAAAAAAAATAAAATTAATGATTTATAATATTCACCATGGAGGTCAATT